AGCCTATTCTCGCATCTGCGTCCTCTCCTCCGCAGGTGCGGTCTCGCTTCTGCGACGAAATGACCGCATCTGCGGTCCTAGCTCTCCCCCATCAAATTGCATCTATGACTTAGGGCCGCTTCTGCAGCTCCGCACTTGCGGCCAAAACCTCGCAGGTGCGGTTACACCAGATGCCAGCTGCATCAATCCTCTTCAAATTCCAAATTTCAATCCATTAACCATTCGGAATCCACCCGAGGCCCTCGGGACCCCAACCAATTATACCAACCAGTCCCAAAACACATTACGGACTTGCTCGAGGCCTCAAATCACATCAAACAACGCTAAAATCATGAATCGACCTCCAATCCAAGCTTAATAAACTTTAGAATTTCAAACTTCAACTTTCAATGCCGAAACCTATCAAATCATATCCGATTAACCTCAAATTTTGCACACAAGTTATATTTGACGTTACGGACCTACTCCAACTTCCGAAATCGGATTCTGACCCCGATATCAAAAAGTCCACTTCCGATCAAACTTCTCAAAACCCTTCCAACTTCTATCTTTAGCCAAATGGCTCCAAAATGACCCACGGACCTCTAAATTCACTTCCGATCGCGCTCCCAACACCAGAATCACCATACGGAGCTATTCCGAGACTCGAAATCCCAAACGGACATTGATAACAATGAAATTCACCTCAACCCAAACTTATGACATTCTTCCAAAACTGCTAACTTCCACAATAGGTGCCGAAACGTTCCTGGGTCTTCCAAAACCCGATCTGGACATATGCCCAAGTCCGAAATCATCATACGAACCTACTGGAACCTTCGAATCCCGATACCGAGGAGCTATTCCGAGACTCGAAATCCCAAACGGACATTGAAATCACTTCCGATCGCGCTCCCAACACCAGAATCACCATACGGAGCTATTCCGAGACTCGAAATCCCAAACGGACATTGATAACACTGAAATGCACCTCAACCCAAACTTATGACATTCTTCCAAAAATGCTAACTTCCACAATAGGTGCCGAAATGTTCCCGGGTCTTCCAAAACCCGATCCAGACATACGCCCAAGTCCGAAATCATCATACGAACCTACTGGAACCTTCGAATCCCGATACCGAGGTCCTTTACTCGAAAACCCAATCTTAGTCAATTCTTTCAACTTAAAGCTCCCGAAATAGAAATTTTCTTTCCAAATCAACTCCGAATTCCCCGAAATTCAATTCCGATCAAGCGTACAAGTCATAATACCTGAAGTGAAGCTGCTCATGGCCTTAAACTACCAAACGACGCGCTAGAACTCAAAACGACCGGTCAGGTCGTTACATTCACCCTTCGTGCTTTATCTCTCTTTCCTCACCATATGTATCAATATAAATGTAAATGTGTACGGTATCACCCTTCGTGCTTTATCACTCTTTCTTACCCAAACAATGGAAACAACAACATCCCAGCAAGGGAATCAATCAATAGAAATAATAACATCCCGGCAAGGGAATCAACAATAGAAATAATAGCATCCTGGCAAGGGAGTCAACAATAGAAACAATAACATCCCGGCAAGGGAATCAACAATAGAAATAATAGCATCCTGGCAAGGGAGTCAACAATAGAAACAATAACATCCCGGCAAGGGAATCAATCAATAGAAACAATAACATCCCGACAAGGGAATCAACAATAGATAGCATCCCGGCAAGAGAGTCAGCAATAGAAACAATAACATCCCGGCAAGGGAATCAACAATACATAATAAGGGTCACAGAAAAACCAAGAAGCACGATAACCTCAACAAAACAACAAGACATAATAAGTACGCGATAACTACACTTGTAACCACAAAAATTGGAAATGTAACGAATTTGCATGAAGTCATAGAGGAACTTACAATCTAGGAGTATCAAAACAATAAGGAAGGCAACCACTTCAATTAAGGCAATTAAGGGTCAATATAACACATAGAATTAGAGGAAGGCTAATAACATCATATGGAGTATATAAAGGCAATTTAAGCAATTAGAAAACCCAATCATAATGGAATACTTTTCACATAATGAACATAAGGACCTAAGAACCCTAGAGCAAATTTCCCACAAATAAGTCCGAGCACACACTCGTCACCTCGCATTCACGGACTACAATTAGCATAGAAGACTCAAATCCTAAGGGGAAGTCCTCCACACAAGGTTAGGCAAGATACTTACCTCAAAGACGACAAATCGATACTCTAAGATGCACTTCTCGGGTGAAAAGACCTTCGAACGGCTCAAATCTAACCAAATTAACTTCAAAGCACAAATAAAACACATAAGAAACTATTCCGGATCATAAAGCCTCAATCTTTAACAAAATCCAAAAATCGGTCCAAAAGTTGACCCCGGGGCCCGCGCCTCAGAACCCGACAAATTTTACAAAATCTGAATACCCATTCCAATATGAGTTCAACCATACCAAATTTATTAAATTCCGATACCATTTGGCCCTTAAAATCACAAATTTTCATTTTAGAAATTTTCATCAAAAACCAAAATTTTACTCAACCCAAATCACAAATTAAATGATAAAAATAAAGATAAATTCATGGAATATAATCAATTATAGGTGAAGAACACTTACCCAATAGTTTTGCTTGAAAAACCCACAAAGAATCCCCCAAAATCGAGCTCTAGAACTCCAAAAATGGTGAAAATGGCAAACCATCGGAATAGAGTACTATTTATTCTGCCCAGGTCTTAAAGCATCACGAACGCGGAGGAAGCATCGCGTTCACGAAGAAGAAAAATGAAGGTGCCCAGGTTACTTAGCACGAATGCGACAGTGCGTCCGCGAACGCAAAGAAGGGAAGTTTGATGGCCCAAAGACTGCTCTTCGCGAACGCGTGAACTTGTACGCGAACGCGAAGGGTGGGATGGCATAACTACGCGAACACAATAAAGGAAGAGACAGAGCTTCGCGAACGCGACCCTTTTAACGCGAATGCGACCCTTTTAACGCGAACGCGAAGAAGGATTTCAGGTTGTTAGCAACAAAGCTTCGCGAACGCGGAAGGCCGTTCACGATCGCGAAAGAGGATACCAGAAGCAGAAACAACAGTTCAAAAACAAGGAAAAATGACCCGTAGCCCATCCGGAACACACTCGAGGCCCCCGGGACCCCGTCCAAACACACAAACAAGTCATATAACCTAATATGGACTCGCTCGAGATCACAAATCATATCAAACAATGCTGAAACGATGAATCACACCATGAATCAAACTTAGGAACTTTCAAACCTTCCAACTTCCAAAACTCGTGCCGAAACCTATCAAATCAACCTAGAATGATGCCAAATTTTGCAGACAAGTCCAAAATGATATAACGGAGCTGTTCCAACTCTCGGAATCGCATTTCGACCCCGATATCACAAAATTCAACTATGGGTCAAATTTCTCCATTTTCCAAACTTCAACTTTTCCACGTTTCGCCGAAACGCCTCAAATTACCCTACGGACCTCCAAATGCGAATCTAGACGCACGCCTAAGTCCAAAATCACCATACGAAGCTGTTGAGATCACCCACGACCTATTCCGAGGCCGTTTACTCAAAAGTCCAATTCCGGTCAAATTCTCACCGTTTAATTTCCAAAACTAGTCTCCTTCTTTCAATTTGACTCCGAATTATCCGTTAACTAAATTCAACCATGCCCGCAAGTTGATACACATAATATGAAGCTACTCGAAACCTCAAACTAACGAGCCGGGCACAATTGCTCAATACGACCAGTCGGGTCGTTACAATAATTTTTATTACAAGAAAAAAAAAATTAATCTATTAATGGGAGTTGTGGGCAATAATATGAACAACTCTAAGTTATGGGTAATGCAATAACATGAACAAGGAATCAGAAAAAGAAGAAAAAATATGTAATTAAATAATTTAAGTAGTAAATGTATACATAATGATAAGACTTATTTGATCTTTGAGAAGAGAGAATTTTTAAAATAATAATGAGCTTAATCATACTATATAAATAAGATACACTTATTTAAAAACGGTATAATAGATAAAACTAAAATTTTAAATATAATTTAAATTCTTATATAGATTTGGTATTGATATTTACACAAAATAAAGTGAATTACAAAAATCATAAGATAAGATTCATTTAATTAAGAATTACATGTAGGAACTCATCTTTTTTTAGTACATGTGCATGGTAGAAGAAAAATATTTAAAGTGGGTTAATATTTATTTAATTATAATATATTAATCTTAACTATATCCCAAAGGTATCATTTAAATTGTTAAAAATAAAGTGACTTTAATTGTATGGTAAAAATTGAGGTAACTAGCAAAATTATTGAGCAAATTACGATCCAACTATTTTATAAGTTGGTAACTCCCAAAAGTCAGAATATAATGGTTGTTAATAAATTATCATGTACGTATATATTAATTTGTCATTGTGTAATTTTAGGTTGGTAGAAGTTGATGTTGATGAGAGAAGTTATTATATCGAGATAATAATATAATATACTTTTATAATTTAAACTAAGATATTACTAAATGTCTTTTTATTAGTTATTACTCTATATAGTATGACTTCAATCAGTTTCAATATAGATGAGATAGTTTGACTTGGTACAGAGTTTAATAACGAAAAAGAAGATTTTTGAAATTTATGGTTCTAATAGTTTTGTGGGGCCATAGTATTTGTATGGGTGTAAGAACTTCTCATTATAGGTAAAATGGGTAAAATAAAAAATTTAAAGCTAAATTATATCCAAATACAAAAGTATGTTATTCTTTTGGAACAAACTAATAAGAAAAATATTTTATGTAAATTGAAAGGAAAAGAGTATTTATTTTTGAATTATATTGTATTTTTATTTGTTTGTATCACCGAGTATATATAGGATTATAATATTTAAGTTTATGTCAATAATTATTCATATAATTTGTTCTATTTAATTTATAGAATTTTGCAGGACACATCCTCGTCTCCAAGCGGAACGACGTCACTTTTGCTTGACGATTATCGAATCATAGTTGGTACTTGGTATCAGTTATCGACTGTAGAGACGACACTATAATAGCTAGAGTTCTCCATTTCCTACAGGCTAGAGCATAGCTAGTTCTGTAAGTTCAGCACAAGGAACTCCTCTAGGGTTTAAGGGACTCCGATACTCGAACCCCTTTATCTCCAATCCTCAAAAAGTTTAGGGTTTAAGAAATAGCTGAAGTCAATAATCTGATGGATAGGCACAGAGGAGGAGAGAGGTATGTGAATAGCAACAACAATTCAGACCCATTTCATTATAAGCAGCAGCACTCAAGAGGGGGTCCCCCATCTTCTAGAACTAATTTCTCTGATGGTTCCATGAACCCTCACCCTCAACATCATCGTCGAAGCCCTAATGCATATCGTGGGCCCCACTGGCCCGCCTTCGATAGCCCTCCTCGCTACCCTCCTACTGATGCGGTTGCTGTTGGTACTGGTGGTGGTGGGGTGGATTCTGAAAGGTTCCATTCGAATTACCAGATGCCGCCACCGCCTCCTCCACTTTCGGGCCAAAAGCGGGGTTACCCGTTTTCTTCCGATACAAGTGGGTCTCCAGGTAATTTTTTTTGGTTTCCTTATTCCCGAGTGTAATTTGAACGTGAATTATTTTGTATTGGAATGAAATGGACATGAGTAGAGCGGAATGTAATATAGAGGATTTTGTGTGGTGGAGGCAAACTTATTTAGGCGTAGTTGATTGATTGATGGACGGGTACATCTGAAATTCCAATTAATTATTAGGAGTATTAGTTTTAACTTTTTGGGGTTTCATGAACAATTATCTTGCTACTGTGGGTGCACTTTCATTTTTTTTCTTTTGTGCTAAAAGAAGATAAGTTAAGTCCGATTTTATTGAATTTCATTGCGCACGCTTGAAGGGGAAAATTACTGATATGTTCTTCATGATATTGTTAGCTAAGGGCCTTAAGGCTTTCAAAAACCTTAAAAAAATGATATTGGTATTTTAGGGCATTATTGCTGAGGTTAGGGTGTGTACCTTTTATCTTGTACTTTATTGGATTATCATTGTTCACGATGAATGAATAGCCAAGTTTAACTAATTTAACTAATTCTCTAACCTTCTTACTGGTCCTGTACCGGTTTGTCATTATGGCGTCTTACGACTCCTTAAACGCAGAAAATGTCTTGTTTCTCTAAGTTAAAGCCAAATTAGAGCCCCTAGGGCCTTGGTCTAGTGATAAGAGTGCAGTGCGTGATGTGCAGGTTAGGCACACATGACACTTTCGGATCCAGATTAAAGCCTGGTACTTAAGTGGAGAAAGGTAGAGGAGCGGGCCAATTGATTGGTGGATTTCTCGGTTATAAGAGTAGATGTGGCTTGTGTGAGTGGGCTTTAGAATGGTCATATAAGCCAAGAATGTGCTTTGCATGGTGAGCCAACATTATTTAGTGTGCCCTAACACCTCGAGCCTGAAGGGTATTCTATGTTTCATAGAAATAGCTCTCGAACCGTTATATTATTCAAATGTATCTTCTATACGTTCTAAATTTCAGGCCTCTTGATATTTTTAATAGGAAATCCTTTGTGTATACTGTGGTAGTTACGTGGAAGCATAGTTTATCAAGGTTGCATGTAGGCATAGTTTATCAAGGTTGCATGTAGGCATATTGTTGGTCAACAGTGGGTGACTCAGTGTCTCAACTAGAACCATTTACGCATCTGATATGTATATTTTTGACATTAGTTGGTGTTTATTAATGAAATTTGTTGAGTAAAGAGCAAAGGCATATTGCTTGGTCAATGTAATGTGGATTCAGTGTTCCATTAGGGGAGTTCTTTGACGCTTGCTGTACTTTTAGTAATATATAACTAACACCTGATAGGTTCTTTAACTGTTCCTTCTCATTGTCTTTTTTCCCTCTTTGTTGTGTTGGTTTATGCTTTGTGCTTGCTGACTTCAACTTTCTTTTGAGTGTTTCACAACTTCCGTTAAATATTTTTTTAATGTATTCATTGTTATCCATATATTTAGATGGAGTTGATGAAGGTGGTTTTGCCAAACTTTTTGTGGGATCTGTCCCAAGAACAGCAACTGAAGAAGATGTAAGTCCTTGTTAATGCTTAAATCTGGCATTTGTTTTATTTTCCCTCTTAGCTGTTAGTAATCATAGTGACTCTAGCATTTAGGATTCTGGTTCCTGAAACTCTATATGCTTCTCCTGATCATGCACCTCACAATCTCTACCATTTTTCTCTATGCTTGCCTCTTATATCTAAAATGGAAAGGGACTCAGTTTTGTGTCAGCAAACAATTGACCTTGATACCCTGTCAAAGAAGGAAGAATAGGCTAATGTTTTGATGGGTACACAATTAGGTGGTATTTAGACCGACGGATACTTGTGGTTGATGTCGGTTTCTCTTATCAGAAAGTAGTAAGCAGAGCATTTTCTGAGCAATTGTCCCGCCTGTGTCAAGGCACTTACTGTAGCTTTGCTTTCCATGACCTGTGTGCTCTTGATATTTTTCCTTTTGACTTCTAGACATTGTTGCATATTATTTGCCAATATTGCTGCCGTTCCCATCTTTTCTTTTATTCAACCTGTATCATTTGAGCATGTGTTTGGTATTCTTCCTCAACTCTCAGTCCATTTAGTTTATATGTTTGTTTCATGTCAGATTCGACCTTTGTTTGAGGAACAAGGACGAGTACTCGAGGTTGCTTTCATCAGAGATAAGAGAACGGGGCAACAACAAGGTATGTATTGTTAGAATTTGTTGCAAATTTTCTTTCGGATCTACACACGTCTCTTTTCAGGACCTTTGAGGGCTGAAGGAGCAGTATAAGTTCATGTTTGATGTCAGTTAGTTTTCCACAATTGTCTGGATGCCCATTGATTGCAACTGTCTTTTGCGTTCATCCTGATCAACCAAGCAGAAGACAAGAATAAAACTTGTGAATCAACCTTTCTGTGGCAGTAGACAATAGTGAAGAGAGGTTCTTATTTTGTACAACAGGTGTCAGTTGGACAAATTAGAGAGTTTGATTATTGTATTAGGTTATGTGAGTGTAACTGTCTGCTGTGTTTAGCTTTGTGGAATCTCTGGATGTACAGCACTTGAAATGACTGACATTTGGATTATTTCCAAGTGATGTGACCAACTTCTATTGCATTGGAGTAGTAATATGATTTCTTCAGTAGTTGATGTGGAAATTGGTCATGGTGGTGCTTGCTTGTCTCTACAGTAATTTAATTTGGAATGTTTTGTGGATGTGAAGTTGGATCATGAAATAGAGATGGTAGTTGACGAGTTCAACTGGATATTTGCCAAATCTCCTTTAGAAGTGATGTGATGAGATTGCGAACCATTTGTTGGTAAATTGCCCTACTAATTAGCAGTGCAATATCATCTACTTTTCACTTTCGGCGAGTGACTGACTTATTGGAGCTTTTCCGATCTCATCTGAAGCTTATCTTTTCACCATGGTTGGTGTATGCCGGCAAACAACAGAGTAAATAAATTGGCTCTTTCATTAGAGTGTTTTGGCTGACAGGGCTTCTAGATGCTGATTTGAGATAATAGTGAAATCGTCCTATATGCAATGTGTATTTAGATTTGTGTTCTTTTTTCTTCATTCATATCCTGGTCAAGAATGTGTATGGTTGATTATAAATCCATACCCTTGCTTTAGTTAACAACTCCTCGACATGTGTGTGCTTAACATTTGCAACGTGCGGTTCGTGGTTAATGACTACTGATATTGGATATGTATGCCTGGTGATAGATGTGTGGCTGCCATGGCATTGCCATTTTTTATTTTCTGGTGCAATGTTGTGTATTTGAATGTATCCCCAGGTTTTTTCAAATATTTACCAGGATGGATGTGATGTCTAGCGTATTAATATTCCATCTTCAGTTCATTATGTTGCTTATTGGAGAATTGTGAGTTATATGCAATTCTTACCCCGTTGTGAGTGAACTCTTCAGTGAATGCTTCTTAGTGTTTGTTTGATGATGTTCTCGCGTGAATGAGGTTCTTGTGATAATGGTTCACTAGATGGCATTTTAATTTTCTTGGAAGTGATTATTATTTAATAGAATCCTTTTGGTGTGGTTGGTTTTGAGATTTTGCCTCATGGTCAACAATAGTTGTCAGAAGTGATGGTGGTCCGTGGTTGTTCAATGATAAAATGCATGCGAGCGTCGTATGCCACGTGTAAATTCTAGATTTTCTTCCATTACAGGATTGTACACCCTTATAGAACAATAGGGTTGTAAAACTGCTTTTGCTGTGTGGTGGCATGGTTGATATATGATTTAAGTACCTTTTTATGGATATGGATGCGTAATTTTCTTGATGAAGTTCATCATCAATACAACTTGCTTTAGCAATTTCCTCATGTGTTGTACTAGTTTATCCGTGGTTTGCTTCGTCCTCAAGTGTGATTGGATGTATATTAATTGCGATCTCCAAGGGAAAAGGCCTCTATTATTCTTTTCCATTACCAAAACCCATGGGGTTGCATAGAGTATGGCTTCATTGAGTTCTATCAAACAACAGATTATTCTGGCTGCATGGGACGGTCATATCCTGTTGTATAAACATCGGTAGTAGGTGTATGATTTGGACCCTGAGAGTTGTTAAATGTTAATTCTGCCAATATATCATCACTATGCCTGCCTCAAAAGGTGACTAGAGTTAATTTGACAGAGCAGTTGCATGAATGACGTGGTTGGTCAAATCTGCATTGCTTAAGAACAGTTTCACCACTAAAGACTCCAGGGACTGTTTAGAAACTATATTAGGAAAAGAGTAATAGTGATTTGAAAGGTGTTTGATGCCTGTCAATCTGACTAAAATCAGGGAAGTACTAGTTTTTAATTTAAGGTATCTTACAGTTAAACGTGGTGCTGAAGAGTTAATGTGATTTCCCTTTTGAATATGTTGCCAAGTTGCTTCACATCTGAGTTAGGGAACTGATTTTCAGTGATGGGGTTCTCGCCTTGGTTTCTCTTCGTGTTTTGCATCTTTACGTTACTTTCATTGTCTGCTTCTTGGTCTTTGATGTGGTTCCAAATTTCTGGCTATTATTCACTTCTTTATAGATGTTTGTTCTTCATCAGGCTATGAATGTTATTTGGTTGAATGGTTTTGGCGATATATTGCATACTTTGTCCTGATATATGCATTCTTTGATTGTACTACATATTTTACAGGTGTTGTATGGTTAGCCTCATTCATGTTGTCTGATTAAGTGGAAGAACGCCCGCTTGGAGCATTTTTATTTATACTAATTGTGTGCTATGTAATTTTCTAATTATCAAATGATGTCCTCGGTTACAAGAGTTATTCTGTTTCTCCACCTTAGTTATTAATTTCGTAGTTCTGAGATGTCACTTGTTCTTTTGTTGCAAACCTTAGTCACCCTTATTTTACTCCGATCTTGATGTTTTTATGAAGTGATGTTCAGAGATATAAAGAAAATTACAAGCTTCAGTGCCGTGGTTAATCGATAGCTCTATCGATCTACAGGGTGTATTTGGTTATTTTAACTTCTCAAATGTTTTGGGAGAATAACGCGTTTTCACTTCTTCTCTTCTACAATTTAGTCTTTGTGTGATGAACTGAAAGAAAAGAATGCCCGAACATTGTTGCGATTGCAGGATATATTATTCCCTCAAGTCTTCGGTTTAAATAAAATAAAGGGATTACCTCCACCTAGCGTTCAATGTCTGGATGCTCCTCTTAGACTGGCCATACAGGGTGTGCCATAGCTATAAATTTTTTTTTGAGGTGAGAATTGTTGAGTTTTTTATTGCCAAGCTAGGTTTCCATTTTCCTTCGACCTGATTTTCCGAAATGGGATTCTGGGAAGGTTGAGTTCAGTAACTCAGTTCAGTGGCCAAGAGGTTGAGAGGAAGAGGTACTATCATGATTGTCTTCGGAATAGTCAAATATTGTAAAGCCATAGGGCTTCAAATGGTCTTATATGGGGGTTTAGGAAGTGAATGACTTTGATTGGATCTCGTATCTGCGGAAAGAGATTCCTACTCATTTGGGTGGTGTGTTTTGCTGACTTAACAGAGCAGCACGTATGCCTCACTGTTGATGGGATGAATGAATCTCATATATGCGTGTTCAAGCCCGACACCTTCTGGGCTTATAACTGGCCTATTACTTTTGCTTATCACCAAGAAAAGATGGCTTGATGTGGTGAACTTTCTCCCCATGATTATATTAGTCACTTATTACCCCTTTCCTATCCCTTAAGCCCCCCATTAGGTGCACTTCTAGTGTATCATGCTGCCGAATGATGTACTCTTCTTTGCTGGTGTGTACTTGCTGGTGAAGGTTGTGGAATTTGATAAAATCAGGATGTAAACTTTTGACTTCTGCAGGATGTTGTTTTATTAAGTATGCTACTTCAGCTGAAGCTGATAGAGCTATAAGAGCATTACACAATCAATATACTTTGCCTGGGGTAAATTCTTCTACTGAGTTACTTTAAGATTCTTGACTCGGTTTTCATTTCTTAATTCATCTGTGTATTTACCAGGGAATTGGTCCTATTCAAGTCAGATATGCGGATGGTGAACGTGAACGCCTTGGTAAACTTTTTTCTCTTTCTTTTTATTGAGTTACCTCAGCTTTTTATTTCATATTTTGTTGAGTTGGTTGAAAAGGGACTTTATCTGTCCTTATTAGTTTGTTACTCATTTTGATTCTTATCTGTTGGTAGGTGCAGTTGAGTACAAGTTATTTGTTGGGTCACTGAACAAACAAGCTACAGAGAAGGAAGTTGAAGAAGTACGGCCATGCATTACCTAGATATTCTTTCTTTTCCATGTTTCTTTTTATGATTGGTAATTCAACTCTTGCATAACTATCTATTAATGCTCATAAGGACTCAACAAGTCGAAACCTTTTGTCTTGTATCTTAAAATCCCCAAATAATTTTCATTACATGCATCGATATTATACTAAAAGCACGAAGCCCCTTAGGGAAATATCGTTTGCCTTTTTTATCCTTTAAAATTTGATTTCACATTAGATAAAAGCCATTTAGTTAATTTCTAATATGTAGGAATAGATATTTAATTATTTTCCTAACAACAACAACAAAAACAACAACATACCCATTATAATCCCATAAGTGGGGTCTGGGGAGGTTAGTGTGTACGTAGATCTTACCCTTATCTGATGACCCTCGGCTCAATATTTAATTATTTTTCTAATATTTAGAAATAGACATTTAATAATTTTTTTAATATTTAGGAATCTGAAGTCAACTAAAATTTTATTGATTAAATCTTTTCTTATTTGAACTATATAGGAAGTCCGAATATATAGGACTTTAAAATCAACTGAATAAAGCTATTTTAGTAATGTAGATATCAATATTTTGATATATGGGGATAAAATTTACATACTCAAACAATAATATAATTGATTATAATTATATCACATTTAATGTTGAAAACATAGAGGACATAATGCATTAGACTGAAAAGTTTTATTAGAGAAAGGATTTTACCGAGATATAGTTGAGGAGTGTATGAATTAGAGTTGAACAAGCTATTAAGTGTAACATAGATAAGATACTGAAATTTGTGTATCAAATTAATAGTAACTAATCGTTCATATCTTTTTATAAGAAATTTAAGGTAGTTATGAGTCTATAACTTCGAACATTTTTCTGTTTATATGTAATTATAAGTATTTATTCTATCAGTTATAAGTGATTTTTAATAAAAGTGCAGTTGGATAAAAAAGAAAAAGAAGACAATAAGTAGGAAATTCTGAACTATTATTGTAGAGCTTAATGCTTAGGTTTCGTATACAATTAAGTAGAATTGTGAGATGAGGTGCACAAACATAAAGTATGTTTAGAAGTAGAATTTTTTTTTAAGAACAAGAAGTGTCCTAGGTTAATAAGAAAAAGACAGTAAATAGGAAATTCACTTTTACATTGTTAAAGACATAATTAAGTAAAAAAAAGTGTGTTCTCTCTAACATCTTAAACTTTTAGATGAGATGGTCACATACTTCAACATGGTACTAGAGCAGGCAGAGGTCCCTGGTTTGAGTCTCACTGCTACCCAATATCAAAAAGAATTTTCACGTGTTTGGTTCATAAAAAAGAATCAAGCCCTCACTTGAGGGGGCGTGCTAAAGACATAATTAAGTAAATAAAAGTGTGATCTTTCTAACAACTTAAACTTTTAGATGAGATGGTCACACACTTCAACAAACATCAAGCACAAATAAAGACATTAATTCATGGACACTTTCTTTTAGTTTTTTTGGTTGATTAATGCGTTTAATCTACTTAATTTGTTTATTGGTAGACTTCATATTCAAGTTAGAATTTTAAAATTAAAACCAATTAGAAGGAGGAGCTGGACATTTTGTAGAAGCTCAAATTACTATTTCATATTCTTTATAATATTGTGACAGGAAAAAACTCTAAGAGCGACTTCTGATTTGAGAATTTTTTTCTAGCCTTTAGGCGTGAAAAAAAAACAACTGATATAATTTTTATATCATATTCAACGAATGCCTTTTCACCATTCCCTTTTTAAGACTTTAATCATAGCTTAGAATTAAAAATAATGAAAAAAGATGAAACCTTTTTCTTATAAAGTTAAAACTTATCAAGAAGTGAAGAAAAATATCAGCTTACGTTTAGTTTAAAAAAAAACAACAGCTCCCAAAAGATAGAGAACAAATTACGATTTTTATTGCTACATGTCTATAACTAAAAATACTATATGTAACTAACTAAACTAAATTATTCATCTTTGCAGGTTCAAAAGATATTGAATTATTTTGAATTCAACTATGCATTAATGTACTAATACTCATTTCTGTTAATAAATGAATAATGTTGCATCTATTTCAAAGGTCAATTGTTGTTGTATGTAAATCGTTCTTCTTATATACAACTCTTTAATTATTGACGCGACATATACGTGCAACACAAGTACTCTAAAACTAGTAGACATAAATATGTCTTTGTTGATTGATTATAGTTGTGATTGCCCACCAGTCTTCACCGGAGAACTTTTCATCTGGGTGATGCACATGTAACTGCACATGTCATGACACAAGATACACAGCTTGTTCTTGTTAACCTATATGGCTTGGAATAGCGAAATGCTGAGGATTTTCTGAATGATTTGCTTTTATTGTGTGCTTTTCATCTGTTGTGTATTGTATTTATTATCTATTGAAAAGCAGCTATAATTAAATAGTTGTTTTGGATTCTTTTCAGATATTTTCGCCATATGGTCGTGTTGAAGACGTCTATCTCATGCGTGATGATATGAAGCAGAGTCGTGGTTTGTGTTATCGAGTCCTTTTTGTATCTGTATGATATGAAATGCTCACCTTGTCCTGTGCTTGCTATGCATGATTAGACCAAGTTTCTTTTCCATGATAGTGCGTAAAGGTTTTGAACTCCACACTTATGACTTTATGCTATTGTTGATCTTCTCGTTTGGTTGCTTTGGAGCTATGAGGATTTGCCTATAGGCTCATCCTTTTTTAGATGTTTAGTATTTTATTTATCTTGAACAATAGATTAAATGGTTTGTGCAGCCGTATTATTATGTTAACCTGTCTTGACACTTCATTTTTCAATATTCTGTTAGATAGCACTACCCCCTCCTTTCTTCATAGATTATTAGCCCCAGGACACTTATACCAAAAGCTTAGTTTGCAATTTGCATGAAATCTATTTTTCAACTTCAAACTTGCAAGTGAGGCTCCATAAATCTGTAGCCAGAAAAATAAGTTTTTTTTTTCTTTTTCTAGAAAAGTATTTTCTTATCTTAAATTTTGTATTGAACAAGAAAGGAATTTCCTTTGTGTATGCGTGCCTCAAAAGACATGGTCCTTTGTTTTTCTCTAATATAATCCCTCCGTCTCAAAAAGAATGAACCTATTACTATTTGGGGGAGTCAAACAAGGTTTTCTTTGACCATATTTATTGCAAATGGTTTTTAAATACTTCGAACTGTTAACTATTCTGACTTATAGTACTTTTTATGTAGTTTCTAAATATGTAAATTTTATTTCAAAAAACTTAAAGAATCTATGTCCGAATTTACACCGAAAATTAGTCAATTTGATCCTCGTACTTCGAAAAGGTTCAAACAAATTGAAACAGAGGGAATAATAGTGTAAACAAAATTAGATATAACCTTGCTGAGGGGAAAATATAATCTTAGCTTTCCCATCTTCCTGGTTTGTTCTTTTAATGAATTCTGGTTAAGTGCTGGATTACTTGCATCGAAGGATACTGAACATTGTCAGCAGTAATTCAAGCATGAAGTTTTGGGGTTTTTTGTTGGTAGTTTGTATTGACCCTCGCTAATTTAACTTTATACCACTGTGAAGGTTGTGGATTTGTCAAATATTCTCATAAACAGATGGCAATGGCAGCTATAAACTCTTTGAGTGGAAAATATACAATGAGGGTAAGCTTGTAATGTTAATGTCTGTCTTTGTGATTTGACACCATTATTAAACCCTTTTATCAATTTTTAATCGCATTTTATAATTGCAGGGTTGTGATCAACCTTTAACTGTTCGGTTTGCTGACCCTAAGAGACCTAAACCTGGAGAACCTAGGTATTCTATGAGATAACAATGTGCTTTATCTTAAGAAAAAAGATGTTCCGGAGCAGGCTTGCTTGAACCAGTGCATTTCTTGTTGTTTTCTTCTAGTTGGTTATTTATAGTTTGCCTTATCACTCTGTTTCACTCCTTTCAGAGGTAGTGGACCAGCTTTTGGTGGACCTGGTTTTGGACCTCGCTTCCCAACCCCTGGAATTAGGTATTAGTTAAGTTTTTGCATTTGCAACTGAGGTTTTCCCAAAATAGAACTCAGAGACTCTCTCTTCATTTTCTCTGGTGTGTAGACCGCCACCTAATATTGGAGAGCCTTTGCAAGACCAAACAGGCCCTAATGCCTGGCATCCCATGAGTCCAGAAAGTCTCAGGCCAATTTCCAACCAAGGGATGCATGGTTTTGGAAATCAGTTTCCTCCTAGAACAACTGATACCACAACGCCTTCTTCATTGGTAAGAAATACAGCGGTGAATCCTCTGTTGCCACCAGATAAACTGTTTATGAGGGGAAACTGCAATCTTTATTAAAAGTTTGCAGTGTTGCAATATGTTGATTTAATTATTTGCTTGTCTTTTTCTGTGCTCTAGCATTCATTTGAAATCAAGTCTTAAGCTGTATAATAGACTCGGGTATGATTTGGTAAATGTGCATCCTCTGTGTATGTTGGTCAATTGTTGCAGAGAGAAGCAAGCCAGTTCTTTGACTTATATTTGAGCCTGCAAAAATGTCTTGTTAAGTTGGAATTAGGAGAAACACATGAGGTATAAGGAAATGTTGTGGAATACTATAATTGGCTTACACCATCCGTTTCCTTCCTGGGAAACTGAATTTAATGTCATTACCATTTCGTGCTATAGTCATATTACTAGAACCAATTCTTAGACCTGTAATATATGCCTGAATGTTGTTAGTGCGTGGATTCATCTGCCGATACATGTTTTCTTATTTCATCATTCATTGCATTTAATAGCATCAATTCTGGGTTAAATTTCTTTGGGTGATTTCTGATTTCTTTTATGAGGGAATTTCATTACCTGTCCTTGTAACATTAATTGCTTCTTTACATCATACTGTCTTCTGTAGAAGCCGATTAATAGAACATCGGCATGTGGTAATCATGGCTTTGTGAGACATTTGGAAGACTCTGTGATTATTTCCTTGTCTCTCTTATCAGTTCTTAGACTTCACTGTCAAATTGTTGGCGTCGCTTGATTCATCAATGTTCGTTTACTTTTAGAACCCAATTTACAAAGTCACTCTTTATAATTCAGGTTTTGTGATTTAATCTGAATGATTTTTCTGAACTTCTAATCGACATGGGAGCTAAAGTGGCATCAGTGTGATACTTTATTCTAGGCATAATTCGAGTAGACGAGCTTTGATATGGTTGTGACCTTTGGCGGTATCACAAATTCTTAATTGGACTGCTGTATGAGTGACTACAACTTTTTCTAGATGCAATTTCCAGAAGATATTGAACCCAACTAATTTTTCTTTAGGAATAGTTGATTGAATGTCAATAAGATGCTGTAGCCTGTGGGTTATTCTCTCAATCTGTATATACATTATGCACTTTTATTTGTTTATATGTATTGAAACATGTGTTGTATCACTTTGCTGCTTCATTAAAATGTAATTATGCTGCCTACACAAACTTTTAGGGTGGTTCCTTCGGGAGTGTTAGTGGCACTGGAAATGGGTTTCTTACAGGACTTGCGGCTTCTTCTGCTCCTACATCGCAACTGGTATGTATTCATAGAAACTTGCTTAATGTTATTTCAATCTTAGGATTGATTTCTGTCTGTTATTTTGTGCTAAGTTGTTTCTTTTGTTGGCAAGCCTGCTAAACCACTCCCCACTGGTGGCCCACAAATTTCTCAACTACAGAAGCCACTTCAGTCACCCCAGCATTTACCATCTTCTGGGCAACTTCATCCTCCAGCCTCAACACCTTTTTCACAGGGACCAACTTCTCATGCTTTATTCAGGCAGATGAATCAAGTACAAATTTCCCAGTCTGCCAGTCAAAGTCCTTTCAGTCAGGGAATGCCCTCGCAGCAGTCGCTTGGTTTGACTTGGCAATCAACTGTTTCTCAGCCTCAGATGCAGCGCAATATGTCGTCTGCAATGGGACATACACCTTTAAGTAATAACATGCAACTACATGTTGCATCTGCAATCGCAAACCAGCAGCAGCNCGCAAACCAGCAGTCTGTGCCACAGCATTTGGTCCAACATCTTCATCAGCCACCTTCCCAACTAGCACAAATGTTGTCTCAACAGACGCAAAATCTGCAGGCGAGCTTTCAATCATCACAGCAAACCTTTACTCAGCTACAGCAACAATTGCAGCTCATGCAACCATCTAATGAAAGCTCAGCAGTCCAGCAGGGCACACAAGATGTTAAACAACAGGTACACTTGAGAAAATTTTCGTAATAGAATTTCTTGAAACTCAAGATCTTACAATTCTCAGTTTTTTCTTGTTGAAAATAATTTCTGTGATACTTGAATGATACATGGTCTTTACTGACCATTGTTCTCTTTAAACTTGTATGTTCTAAGGCCCAATATGTGCTCCGTTTCATCCAATTCTTGTTGGGTCTCACTTTTGTTTTTCCCTCACCATAACTATAACTATTTCAAGAATATACGAGTATTGGGTGTAAATGTTACAGTGCAAATTGAGGTCAGTTGCTCACAATGTATATTATCCTGCAGTCTCCATGGCCTGGACTTGTTCAACAAGTGGCACCTAGTTCCACAGCTGTCCAATCAAAAGCAGATGTAGTTCCTGCTTCATCTACTGCATCTGGAATGAACCAGATTACAGGTCCGGTGAAATGTAATTGGACAGAGCACACATCGCCTGATGGATTCAAGTACTATTATGACAGTGTTACAGGAGAAAGCAGGGTAAACATCTGCTATTCTGCCTTCTGGTTGAAGTTCTAATTTCTTAGGCCACCTAATTGTGCGTTGTTTTCGAAATTTAGTGGGAAAAGCCGGAGGAGCTGATATCGTATGAACAGCAACAGCAAAAATTGTCTGCCCAACAGCCTCGCATTCAGGCTCAACCACATGGGTTGCCTTACCAACAAGCTCAAATGCAAGCACAACTTCAATGTCAGCTCCCAACATATGTCCAAACCCAGGTCCGCCCGCCTCAACAATTGCAACAAGCTTCTCAAGGATCTCTGGTTAGCATTTAACCCATACTTCTTCATAGGACTTGAATTTCAGTGGATTTTTATTATTTGGTTTTGATTTTCCAGTACGCAGTTGGAATGACAGGTCAACAACCGATTCAGGTACCATTATGCTCTTTTGTTGTTGCTCTGATCATATCTTTTTAATTCTTGGTAAATCATTCACTAAACTGTAGAAATATTGCCCTTTATATTCCCAGTAAAATATTTGCCTGGCTGGTGAAGTAGAATTTGTATCTTGTGATGTACAATATCAACTACAGAGCTGAGGGTCAATCGGAAAAAGCCTCTCCACCTTCACAAGGTAGAGGCAAGGTCTGCATACGCACTACCCTCCCTAGATCCCACTTTGTGGGACTACACCGGGTTTGTTGTTGATGTACAGTATCAACTTCTAAGCCATATCTTACCATCTAGGCTATTCAATTTGACTCGTAATGAAGGTTTAGAAAAAGTAGAAATATCTTGAACGTAGCGTGTGCTAATGAAATCATCTATGTACTTGTGTTGTTCTGCTAATACCTGCTTTATGCATTATTTTTTTTGCTGAAGCTGAGAGGTTTCTCCCTGATATGGCTTTCTACAGTCCCTAACCACAGTACATGGCAAAACCTGTGACCATATTTCTCCCCTCACCACAGCTAATTGCAGAGAAGGAGAAGATAATAAGTTTTTCCTATTTGAATGTGTTTTTTCTGAGTCTAAGTACTCCGTTCTGAATTTGGCTATGTTTTCTTTTGTCTGGTGCCATGCTTCAGTTAACATTCAACTAACACTATGGACACAACTTTCAGTTGAATTAGCAAAATAGTGGCTGGCTATAGCTATAGAATTCCCTTTTCATCTTCCCATAGATCCACTGCTTTTTTTGTCAAAAATGCAATCACTGATGTGTGTTTCCTCATGAACCCCTAATCTGCTTTTCATAAAGACAGTTGTTGGGTGCAACCAATGTTCTACTGTGGTCACAGAAACCTGTAAGCTCCAATTGAGCCGGAAGGTCTGTTTCAATATCCTGCTTTACGTTCTCTATAATCCAACTTCTGCTGTATCTTAAACTTATGTGCTTTTATATTCGCCAAAAGATCTTCAATGATGTAGCATGTATCTGGTGTTTGTTATCGTCAACATATATATAAAAATTTATTTGGCGTGAGCAACGCATATCTGCAGTAACGAACGAGTTACTTGATTAAAGGGTTCTCAACTATTTCGTAATGTGCTGATTACAGTGTGTAGTTCTCTAATGAATAGAATTGAGGATTATTCTGTTAGTGTAATGGGTGACGAACATTCGTAGAATTTGATTGCCATATCCTCTCATCTTCTTACCTCTTCACAGGGGATTCCGGCTGCTCAGGAGTGGATGTGGAAAAACAAGCCTGCAGGTCTCTTCATTTCTTTCGATTACAGATTTTATTGAGTTGGTAAAAAATAAAGTCCAATGATACCATCTTGCAACCCTTTTGTTTTGCTGTGGTTGGTGTTTGAGCAAATAACATTCTAGAAGTTGGGCTTATTCATCAGCTGTGAGCTGGAGATAGAAGTTTTGTTTACTCGAGAGTGTTTTTTTTTTTTTTTTTTTTTTTTTTTTTTTTTTTTTTTTTTACAATGGATGTGGATATGCAATGGCCAGGCCTTGCTTAGTGGCATGCGTGTTTTGCTCCATTGGCGGAAGCAAATGCCTCTGTTTATTTTACAGTTGAGAATCTTATTCCTGCTTTACTAACGCCTTTTTTATGAATATCTGTTCTCAGGAGCTTGAATTTTGCGTCTGAATGATGCACTTAGCTGGAAGCAAATGCCACAATGTTGTATTGTGCAGCCTGATTTCAAGTGAGATGTAGCATTACTTTGTGAATATCTTTTGGTAGAGGAATTTACAGTCTTGAGTACACTTCCCAAGGAGTCTGATGCTCCCATGCCAATCCATCCGTAGCTTTAAAATGCTACAAAAGCGTTCTAGATTTCTTAGAAATATTCATTGTGTGCTTCAGGCTTCCAGAAATTTCTTGAAATCAGAGCCCACAGTCAGGGTTCAAAAATGTTTGTAGTCTAGAAATAACCCCCCGTCTCCAGTAGCCTTGACCAAAGAGAATAAATCATTCGAGCAAATAGTTTGTTGTGTATGAGATGGTGCTGGGGGTTACAATTAAGTTGTTTGAGGTAGCTATGCAGTGATCTTGACTTTGCTCAAACTCCATTACATGCTTTATGTCCTAAACCTGGCTTTGGTGGGTTGACATGTATAATGAGTTATATACTTTTTTCAGGTGACGTCTTTCCGTTCTACTTGACATCTTAATTTCTCTTAATTTAGTTTTTCCTTCTTCTATCTCTTTTTGCTTTGGTAGCTTGACTAATCTCTATACGTGTGTTTCGTGCTGCCCCTGGTCGCAAATATTAAGGCGGTAGATGTCTTTTTAAGAGGGCAGCGTAAAATCTTACTAGGTAGGTCGTATGTGCCAGAAGTGATATTTATTAGTCAAAACAATCAACTATATCCTAAAATAGCAATGTCGCTTTGTTGCGGCCATTTCATTGCAAGGCTTGATGTGTTTATTGCTACGAGGTTTTATCGTTCTCTAGCCAGATCTAAGATCAACCAAAAAAATTCTAAATGTTATTAGTTAGAGGTCGTTCTCTAATCTAGATTTGAGATTGACGAGAAAATTCTAATGCAATCCAGTTGGAGCAGCTCAGCTACCGTGATGCAGAATACTTGCACGTAGGGGTGACAAATAGGCAGGTCACGCTGGATATGGGTGGATTGAAAATGGGTATACGGATAGAAAATGGGTTGAGATCACTTTTAGGAGAATTTTTAGTTTTTTTGAGTATATGCAAATGTAATAGTCAAGACTAGGAGTGTTTATGGTTCGGTTTGGATTGATTTTTTTCTAAAAAGAAATCAAATCAAGTAAGTCGATTTTTCAAATATTGGAATCAAATCAAACCAATTAAGCTAGTTTTTTATAGATTAGGTGTATGTTGGTTTTTGTTTGTTTTCTTATTTTTGCGGTTATTAATCGATTTTTTCTTAAATATGAGACATATATTACCAAGTACATATTACGACGACTATATTTTCAACATAACACTATCAAACTAAATGCTCTTTGAGAAATCTATCATTTACCTAGATCTTGACGGTAATTGAACCAAATAGTGATGAATAATTTTATGACTCAATTATAAATAAATTTTTTTAAATGTGAAATAAATTTTTGTACTTAGCAAAAGAAAATTGCTAATCAAAAAATAATGTAAAAGTAAAGAATTAAATTATTNTATATATATATATTCGATTTGGATCGGTTTTTTTCGGTTATTTTTTGATTAAAACCAAAACCAAATCAAATTTGGTCGGTTTTTAAAATTCAAAACCAAACCGAAAAAGTATCGGATTTTTTAGTCGGTTTGATTCGGTTTTTCGGGTTTTTATGAACACCCCTATTTAAACCCATTAATTATCTATTAAATTTTTATTTTTTAAGTGGATAATATGGATCTTATTAATATTTTTAAGAAGTTTATTATTCAATCTATTTTTAGTGTACAACATAGATGAATAATTATTATTTTTGTCCATTTTGCCATCACTAAATCGCACAACCTGTATACATCCATATAAGGGTGGTTTTATTTTCTGTTAAATCATAGCATATTATAGAAAAGGTGAAAATTGTAATAAATATATCCGTAAAAGGTGCTTATTGTTATAAATAGAATTCTATTTAAGGTGAATATCTATATTTAGAGAGATTCTAGGGTTTATTTCTTGGTGGCTAAGCCAATCTCTCCCTATAAATAGAGGGTTCTATTCCATTGTAATTCATCCCAAAATCAATAAGCATTCTCTTTCCCTACTTTTCTCTGCAATACTCTTCTTTTTCTTTTATTGTTTCATAACACTTATTCAGATTTTGGATGGTAAGTATATTTAAATTTTTTGTCCATCTACAACTCGACTTAAAAACAAATGAATATTCATCCATCTGCAGTACAAATGAAACTTGGCCATTCCTCTTTTCTTTACATTTTTTATTTTGTTTTTTCCTATTTATTTTCTAATATTCCCTCTTTAGCAATATTTTATTGTATTACATTAAGAAAAAAGTTATTTATGGGAGGAGATGATGTTTAGTCTAATAGAAATCATTTGTAGTGCACAAATTAAAAATTAATATGAAATCCTTATGGATATACATGAAACGGGGCATCCGAACTTTAGGATTCGTGTGAAGAAGGGATCCTTCACTTTTGATCCTAGTTGATTTGCACAGATGCTAGCACTAAGTCTAATACTCGGTTTCTCCTTTTGTGAGCCCAAATTGTTATCAAGTCGAATTGTAAGAGTAATGATGGTATTTTTCACTATATATACTTCTTGATCTTTTAATATATCCCCTTGGGCAAACCTTTGAACCAAAAAAAAATATATACATGGACGTTACACACCATGGAACATTCTCTCTCTTTCTCTTATGTTTTCTTTAATTACTCAAAAGATTAAAAGCTCTAAGTTACAAATATTTATGTTGGGAATCTAATGATCCTGTCTATTTAATGTTTCTATGAGAAGACTAAGTACAAATAGTAAAACAATCTTGGCCAATATAAAATTTCAGTGCACTTATGTCAAAATTATTTACTACAAAATTAAATTATAAAAAGTAAATCAATTTTTGGCGAAGAAGGATCAAACTTGTTGAGATGAAAGGACTTTTTCCAAGACACATCAAATACGATTACTAAAGTAAAATAATTATAAAATTTTGATGCAATAAACAGATGACTAAATAGTATGTCGATAGTCACATAATTAGATAAAGGCAAAACATCTTAAGCCCTCCCTAATTTGACACGAATTATTAGTTACATCCTTAAACTATTCGTGGTCTTATTACCCCCCTTAACTTGGCCTTTTGAGAGTCATTACCTCCCTCTGATGTGGCAAAGAGTGTGGGTGCACTCACCTGCCACATGGATTTTTCCTGTATATGTGGCATTTTTTTTGAAAAATAAAAAAATATATTTACCTTTTTAAGTATGTTACTTCTTTAGATAATTTTTTCCGAATACAATTTATAATAAAACTTGGATAGAACTACATTATTTAGGCTAATTTTTTTTATTTGGCTAAAAATAATAAAGTTTTAGTTAATCTTTTTTTGAATTTGACATGAAAATAAAGATTTATACAATTGAAATAAATTGTCAAGTGTGATGACCCAAAAGGTCATCACTTGTTTTAGAAATAAATTCAGTGTTTTGAGGCCTAAAAACCTCCTTTTTACCTCACCTTGATTTGCGTGCGTGGTTCGGACCTATATCCGGAAAGCCTTATATGTGAAAAGATGAGAAATAGAAATTTCTAGAGTTAAAAATTTGATTTTAGTTGACTTTGGTCAACATTTTGAGCAAATGGACCCTGATCCATGTTCCGACGATTCCGGGAGGTCTGCAGTAAAATATGGGACTTGAGCGTATACCCGAAAATGAATTCCGAGGTCCTAAGCCTTAGAAATCAATTTTTGAAAGAAATTATTTTGCTGAATTATCTAAGAAACGAAGAAAATAATTAATGTTTGAAACCATTGGTATCGGCCCCGTATTTTGGTTTCAGAGCCCGGTACAAACTTGTTATAGTATTTGAATGATAATTGTGAAATTTGGTGAAAAAAAGAGTCTATTTGACGTGAGTTGGACCTCCGGTTGAATAATTATGAACTTTAAGTGTTCTTGATAAAAATGATGAGTTTTGAGGTTTAATTCATGGTTTTACATGTTATTTTGATGATGTGATCGTACGAGTAGGTTCATATGATGTTTTTGAGTTAGTATGCACATTTGGTTTGAAGTCCCGAGGGCTCAGGTGAGTTTCAGGTAGGTTCCGGGATGTTTTAGGCTTAAAACATAGCTGTTGCAGGTTCAAAGAAGTTGCAGATCTCTGAACCCGCCAGTGCGGTCCGCAATGATTTTGTGCTGCCGCGGAGGGGCCTTTGCGGCCGCACTCGATTTTGTGCGGTCTGCGGTGAGGAAGAATCCGCAAGTTCACTGGTCTGACTTTGGAAGTCTATATCTTTTGATCTACAAGGAATATTGAGATGATTCAAAAGAGAAAGTTGTAGCCCTTAGTGTCTGGTTTCCAGAAAAGTAAAGAAATCACAATTTGGACATTTGTAGAGAAAGTTATGGTTAAAATACTAAAGCATATCACTGCAGTCAACATTCTCCATGGTGAGCTCTGCGGCCACACTCCTTTTTGTGCGGTCCGCGGAGGGGGTCTGAGAGGGGTATATTTAAATGGAACTTTCAGTTATTTTTCATTTTTCAAAACCCCAAAAACATAAGAGGCGATTTTCCAAACACTCTTTCTTCTCCAAAACATTAGTAAGTGATTTCTAACTCATTTCTTTCACTCCTTAACTTCTTTTAACAAGATTTCATTCTAGAATCTAGGGTTTTCATGGTGGAATTGGGAATTTTGGGTAAAACTTAAGAATATTGAAATTTGGGGATTTAGACCTCAAATTGAGGTCAGATTCCAAAACCAATTATAGATCCGGGCTCGGGGGTGAATGGGTAATTGAGTTTTGGTCCGAATTTCAGGTTTGGACCAAGCGAGCCCGGGGTTGATTTTTGACTTTTTGGGAAAAACTTTAGAAAACTTATTTCCATGCATTATAATTGATTCATTTAGCACTTATTAATATTATTAAGTAATTTGTGGCTAGATACGAGCGAGTTGGTGGTAGAATCAAGAGGTAAAGCGATAGTTGATGCTTGAATTGTGTTCGTGACATCGAGGTAAGTGTTTGGTCTAACCTTACCTCGAGTGATTAGGAGTTGTGTCTTATCTGCTATGTGCTAAGTGTGGAGTGCGGCGTATAGGCATGGTGACAAATATCTATACGTCGGTGTCAAGCATGCTCGTGAGTTTTGTATTGTAATCGTTATGACTCTGTTGTGGTTTATTATGCTTCACATGAGGATTATCATTATTGTTCCCTTGCCAGGATGTTATTGTGGTATTATTGTTCCCTTGCTGGGATGTTTGTTGTGATATTATTGTTTCCTTGCCGGGATGTTGTTATTATGCTGTTGTTTCCTTGCCGGGATTCTTTTATGAGTGGTGTTGATATATGAAATGGGAGCGGGTTGCACGCCTGCAACGGAAATCTATGAAATGGGATGGGTTGCACTCCTACAACGGTAATATATAAAATGGGAGCGAATTGCACGCCTGCAACAATATTACATGTGTACTTGTTCTTCTTATTTCC